AATATATTTGGGTAGCAAAGTATGTAATAAGTATCATGTGAGTAGTATCATGGTTGTGTCTTAAGAGCTTTGGTTATATATCTGTATGAAGAGTGTTAATATGTATGTACAGGGTGTGAATGTGGGTGCATATGAATATGTGTATAACTAGATGGAGTGTGTGAGAGTTTGAGGCACATCTGGATGAGAAGTGATGTAGACAGGATGACAGCATGTGTATATATGGGGAGTAGGGTGTGTATGGTGTTGCACACAGATTGGATACATGACCGTTAGATGTATCTGGGTGGGAAGTGCATGTGAATATAGATTTATGTAAATGTTGTGTGTGGATTTGAGTGGATCTCTATGGTCTATATGGGATGAATCTGAAGAGTCAGATATATAGGAGAGAGTAGATGCATCTGAGTGGGTCTATGTTTGATGTGTGTGTATCAGCGTGAGAGACAGTGACAGAAACAGAGAACATAAGAAAATGTGAAGTGTGTATGAATAAAATTTGCATGAGTGTGGGTTCCCTGAATGATGTGTAGGTGGATATCCAAGTGATATGTATGTGTGTGTGCCCACACACGTGTATTTGGGTTGGGAATTTGAGAGTGTGAATATCTGGATAGGGTGTGTGTATGTATATGTAGTGCCTTGGTAGGTGTGTGTTTGTGCTGTTTTGGATGTGTCTTGATACTCAGTAGGCACATCTAGAACAGATATGAGGGCTTTGAGTTAGGGGCATAAATTTGAATGCACTTGAGTATTGTATGTGGCAGTAAGGGTATATTGAGTTGAAAATTTGTATAAGTGAGGCTATATGTAGTTAGAATGCCCGTGAGTGTAAGTCTATTTCAGGCACACGTACATGAGGGTAGGAGTAGTTAGCTGGGATGTGTGTGAGAGTGTGCGTGTATTGACATCAAGTATATGTATGAAAGTGGCTGTACCTGAATGGTGTATGTAAGGAGAGTGTGTGTATACTGGTGTTCCTCAATTCACAAATGCTTTTGTTTGAGAACAATTTGATTCACAAACAAAAGCATTTGGCAAAATTTTGTTTTGGGGGGCTGGGGATTTAGCTCAGTGGCATAAGCGCCTGCCTTGCAAGCAGGCAGTCGTGAGTTCGATCCCCAGTACCGATAAAAAGGAAAAAGACCAAAAAAATTTTTTTGTTTTTGTTTGCAAACTTCATGCTAGGTGAAAAACTCCACCATGGCCATCTTTCCAACACAGACACAAATATAGCCATCTTTTCCAAAATTGTGGAATAAATTAAGTTTGTGAACTGAATCAACACTGTATCTGGTTGGGGTATGTGAGAGTGTAGGTATATCTAGGTAAGATGTGTGTTTTTCTTTTTGGACATTGTATGTCAGAGAAAAAGGGTGTGTCCAAGTGGTGTAGGTGTAAGAAAATATATAGGTAAGTGTAGGATCTGAGAGAATCTGGGTGGATAGTGTGTATGTTTGGCTGTATTCTTAACGGTGAATGTATCTGAAAATGTGGGGGTATCTATATGTGTGTGTGTATTTATCTGGATGCGTTGTGTGGTCAGTAGTATCTATATGTCTGGGTAGCATTTGTGATTGTGGGCATGTATATGAATGTATGTATATTTCCTTGGGCATATATATCTCAACTAAAATGTCTGTAATGTGACTATCTCCATGTTTGTGCATACATGTGACTAGATGTGGGGATGAGCACTGTACCTAAATACCTGAGTAAACAGGAGCTGGCTCATGTGTGTACGTGTTTGTGCTATGTATTTCTACATGTGGTGAGTTGGATCTGTAAGGTCTCTGTAGACAGCCCTTGGATTTGAATCCTAGTTCTGACATTTATGCTAGGTGGCATTGGGCATGTCACCTAAATTCAGCAAAACCACAATGTTTTACCTTAATGTGAAGGTAAAAATTCCTATGGATCTCCTAGGGTGAGGATCAGATGAGTTAATATAGAATAAGTGATTAGAACACTACCTAGCAATAATGATTCTTCATAATTATTATAATTACCTTCCCCAGGGTGTAACACCATGTGTCTATCTGCAGGTATAAATGGGATTTCCTGGTACATATCTGCCCCATTACCTCAGTCCTTATGTATGTGTGAGAAAATGTGCTTTTCCTACATGTACCTAAGGTTTTGTTTATATGTTAAAGCAGGTTTATATTTCTATGTGTCCCAGTGTGCATATAAAACCTCAGGTGGGCGAGAAAGGCAGTGTGTATTGGGTGGGTGGAAGGAGTTGGGCTTTGTGTACATATTTCCCAGTACTCACTACTCTGCATGTGAATGCACACACCTGTATCTACAGTAGTGTAGTGTCTGTGAGTGTAAGTGTTCCCTGAATTGCTAGTGTGTCTGCATATGTAAGCATGCTTCTATCTGTGTGTGTGTATGTGTATGTACATGCCACTGTGTTTTTATCTGGCCATGGAAACATGTTTGTAATTGTTAGTATGTGAATGTGTGCATGTGAATCTCTGTTGTGTCTGTAAATGTCAGAAGGTTGGTATTCAGGTTTCTATATGATAGTAAGGGTATGTAAGTGTGTGTTTCTATGTGTAAAGGGTTTGTATATTTGTATATATATATAGGTGTGTTTTAAGGTATTGTGTGAGTATATATGTAGCTGTAAACTTTTGTGTGTATCTGAAGATTTATGTCTTTATAAGAATTGGTGGCTATTGATTTATGCATGAGTCTGCATTGTTATCCATGCCTGCTTGCTTCTCTGCATGTAGCTGTGAGCCCTAGCAATGTGCCTATATTAATGACTGTATCTGTGCTGTTCCTCTGTATTAGAGCAGATTTGTATGAAATAATGAGATTTAATTTCTTAGTATAAGAGCAGTATGCAGCAGAGTAGTGAATGAATCTGTAGAATGTGAGCTGGACTTGACCTATGTCTGAATGTAAAGTCTTATGTCTGTACTTGCAGGATTGTGTCTGAAAAGTGTGCAGGTCCATGAAGTTTGTTTTATCTGTAAATGTGTCTACAAGTATCCTTTGAATTGTGAATGTATCTCTGCCTAGGACTTTATTTCTATAAAAAGGCAGTTACACACGTGTGTGTATGTATGTGTGTGTGTATGTGTGTGCGTGTGTTGCTTGACTGAGAATGATTTGTTGGTAGCTAGATCCATGCTTAAATGTCTGTGTAGATGAGGTATGTGTGTGTGTGTGCACATGCATGCACACCTGGTACTGCTTATTAACTGGTGCAAGTCTGGATGCAAATAAAAATTAGAATATTCACATATGTACTTGCCCATTTGCACCTGTGTGTGTGTGTGTGTGTGCTGTCTCTATGTGATGTGACTAGCTGTGAATGCATTAGGGCATTCATAATCCAGCATCCAGAGGAAGTGAAATCTTTTTATGACACACTAGAGTAAAATGAAAATGATTTAAACGTAGTAGGGCTTGGTTACATATTTCCATATTATGTAACTGTGGAGAAAAAAAACAAAAAAGCATAGTTTTCCAAGTTATTAAAATATTGAATGTGTGTACAATTTTCAAGTGGAATTTTTTATGGCACACTTAAACTCACTTCTAGGAACACAATTTTTATTCACTAATGCAAATTTGTAATGGTCAACATCCATAACCACTTCTTCTGAGCTTTTGGTCATGAGTGCCTTGGTTTATTTTATGGTCATTTGACTCACTTGTGACCATTTTAATCTTGATTTGGTAAGCCGATTAGTACTGAACACAGATCTTCTACATCAAGGTATTATTTTGCTTCTTAGTGAAAAGCCAAACAAAATAAATGAAGTAAATAACAACTGGTGGTTCTGACACAATATAAACTTCCATCATGGCCCGCCACTTCCTGAACTTGAAAGCCATGTTGTTGAAGGTAAGACCCATCCACACAGGTTATTCAGACACATTTTGCCCTGAGTCCTCTGCAATTAACTTGAATGTGTGAAACACAGCTGTACGGTTCTACAAATCGGCAAAGTTTACCTCAAAAATACAAGCTTGGAGGTCATTGGATAGGATTGTGACACATACAATTTTTGCTGATAAACCTTCCTCCCCAGTAATCAGAATTGGAATAATTTAATCTTCCAGTTTTGTGCTTCAAAGGGAGGATTCTTCTTTAAATCTATCACGTTTCTTTTTTTTTCAATCAAATGCTATGTTGAAATTTCTTATAACACTCATGCATTTTGAATACAACAGAAAATTTTCATTTTGAGTAACTCAAAATAATCATGGAGATTTCCCCTAAGCAGACACAGTTTAATAAATCTTCTTTTGCACTCACATTGTAATGCCAAGTAAATATCACACAGAGAACCACACTTGACTTCACTTCTCCTAAATTGAAATTTTCCTTCAAATCAATAAACCTTGTCAGTACTGCATAATCCAAATGCAATATTTCAAATGTCTTCAAATTTATCAATATAACTTTATTCATATGTTCAAAAAACCATTTGCTGAAGCCAGTAAGAATTAAATCTGCAAAGTTAGAATCATTCCAAAAGAAACGCTTACATTTTTTTAGCCCATAAATTGTTACATGGTACATGCCTGTAATCCCAGCACTCAGGAGGCTGAGGCAGGGGGATTGCTGTGAATTGGAGACCAGCTTGGGCTACAAAGTGAATTCAAAGCCAGCCTGAACTTCATAGCAAGGCCCTGTCTCAAAAAGACAAAAAAAAGTTTACAAAATTCCCACACACTTTAAACAACTGAAAAAGGTTTACTGATACCAATTCGTCACAGAAAGTTTCAAGACAGGTGGGGAGTATCTTAGATTTAGTTAAATTCACTCAGTATTATTTTCTGTGAAAATTATACTTACAGGTAAATTTTTACAGGTGGGTGAATCGCTGTGTTATGAAAGCACACTTTTCACCATCACAACAGCAGTATCAGCCTATAGACTTATGCAGAGATTCCATAATATTTCAAAATATTCGTGTGTCAATTTACATGTTTTAACCTTAGTTTATGTTGGTATTTCTTGCATTTCTCTTCAGGGTTTCTAAATACAACTGTAAACTAAGCAGTCAGAAAGCATCCACAGATGTATCAGTGTTAAACAAAAACCCTTTGCACTCAACTGTCTTCCAGGTTAGTGTCTTCTCATGGCCTTTGATCTGTCATCAGAAGTAATTGAGCAGGGGCTGGGGATTTAGCTCAGCGGCGTAAGCACCTGCCTTGCAAGCAGGTGGTTGTGAGTTCGATCCCCGGTACGGATAAAAATGAAAAACAAAGATAAAAAAAAAAGTAATTGAGTGTCCCCTTTCCTATTTTCTTTATCTCACTGCTCCTAAACATAGTATGGACAATTTTTCTGCAAACTAATTTGTGAGATTTTATTGGGAGAAGGACATCATAGATTTCCTCATTAATTGTGTAACTATCTGGTTGAGCATTATCTAAAAATGTGCTAATTAGCTCATAAAACACCTCTCTGTCTCTTTGACTCTGTCTCTGTCTCTCACGCTCTCTCTCTAACTGGAATCTTTTCTAAACAAGCAGTCCACCACCGATCTACACCCCAACTCTGGAATCTTTCTATTGAATAGAACAGGAGAACTTGGTGATTTATCAAAAGTGATTTTTCTCTGCATTCTTAAGATGGCAACACTCAGAAACAAAAGCATGAAAGCCTAAATTTGCCTTTTATGAATCAGTTCAATTAAACTTTTGTCAGTCTTCATTTACTGACAAACATTTTTACCTAAAAACAAAAGGTTAATTATGAAATACCACTAAGAGTCAGATTTGGCTAATTTGAAGAGCAGATGCTAATAGAAAGTAAATCAGCAAATCAAGAAATAATAGAAACGATATGTTTTTAAAGGAGTCTTATTTTTAAGAAACAGATGCTTTTAAGAACTGAAAGAACTTATAAATGAAATGATATAATTAGATATGCTTTAGGATACTGGGGAATGAAAGAGATAGGCAGGGTTATAGGCAAAACCATACTGGTTCTGAGTTGATAATCAGTGAATCTGGGCTTTGGGACACTGAAGTTCACTACAATACTCTTATTTTCTTATTTCTGAAATACTCTATTTCAAGCATGTTCAACTCACAGTCCATAAGCTGGCTGTATGCTTCCTGAGACAGCTAATAATATAGCTCCACAAAACTGTAAATTTTAATATTATCATGTGATTTTTTGTGTTATATTTTATGATTCCATTGCACACCACTTGCCCTTGGGTGGCTTAGAGTGTAAAACACAGGAGTTACCAAAGATAGTATTTCAACCTACCTACACATGCATGTACCTATGATGACAGGTGTTAATTATTATTAAGCTGGCATATGAGTTTTCTAGTTCATTGTTAAACTTAGATTCTTTGTTATTTAATAACATAATTTAGTGAGTTAAAATATAAAAAGAAAATTTTGTTACTCATATACATTAACTATATTATATTTTTATGTGGCCTAAGACAATCCCTTTTCACTCAGTATATACCAGGCAAGCCAAAAGGTTGGCTACATGTGCTGTATAATAAAAGGTTATTTTTATAAAGATGCAATAATCAAGAAAATTAACAAAATATTTTTGTTTAAAACACCGAATACTATACAATACAAATTGGGCATTCCTAATCCAAAAATCTGAAATCTCAGATTCTCCAAAACCTGAAAATTTTTGAGCATATGTATGACAACCAAGTGCAAAATTCTCCGTTTGACCCCTTGTGACAGGTTGTAGTTGAAACACAGATGCACTAAATATATAAGATTACCTTTGAGTTATGTGTCTAAGATGTATACAAAACAAAGGAATTTCATGTTTAGACATGGGTCCCATCGCCAGGATATCTTGTGTTATATATACAAATATTCCAAAAATTTAAGAAAATCCCAAATCTGAAGCACTTGGGGTCCCAAACATTTTGGATAAAGGATACTCAAGCTATACAACCTGTAGTCTGTAATAGCAATAATCATAACCTTTCCCCTTCTCCTCTTCTTGGTTTTTTGGGGGACTTTTTGGTAGTAGTTAAGAGAACCAAAGTGAGGACCTTTACATGTCAGGCAAGTGCTCTACCATCTGAACTACATTCTAGCCCCTAAACTTTCTATCTCTGTAGAAAAAGTTGTGATAAAACAATAACAAGATCAAATTAAAAGAAAAACACTGTACATGTAGGTATAGGCCCAAAACTCATTGATGATAAACAAGTAGCAAAGTAATAATCAAACCATCTGGAATGTTTCAGTAGGAAGTAAAGTAGGAAGTGATAAAAATTCATAACCTCTATTTTTCCACAGCCATCTGGAATTCTTCTTTACTCCATCACTTGCTATGGCAATTGCCCACAAGTTGGACATAGCCTGCAGAAATTAGCTGATCTGTGCAAGTGAGCAGATCTACCCCAGAAAGTACACCTGTTGCAGAATGTGTATATCAGTAAGTGTATGTATGTGCATGTGTGTGAGAAAATTGCTATATGTGCACAAGTTGAGGGTTGGTATACCGGGCAACGTGTATCTTTGTGTGTGATTGTACTTGCATATTGATAAAGTAAGTGATTGTGTGTGGCATGTGTATGTGTTGAAGAGAAACAAGAATAGAAACAGTGAACAGAGATTATTTGAATCAGACATATTGGATTATGGGTACATATGTGTCTATGTATAAGTGACAGTGTATATAAATTTGCTCATGTGTATCATATGAGTGTTTAAGAGCTCATCTGTGTGTGTATGTATGTGTGTTAGGGGAATTATAAATGTGGGGTTTTGTGGGCCATTACATGTGTGTGAGAGTCTGAGGGTTTGTGTATTATGAATAATTTTCAGCCTTCTCAAACCCAATGTGCTTTTAAAACGTGTTTATAATGCCATATTTATTACCTGAAAATGGAGTTATTAATTTCTCTGCACATATAATTTTAAAAGAAAATACAAGCTGGATTGGTTGTGCACACCTGTAATCCCAGAACTTGGGAGGCTGAGGCAGGAGGATCACTGAGACTTCAAGGCCAGCCTGAACTACGTAGTGAGACCCTGTCTCAAGAAGAAAGAAAGAAAGAAGAAGAAAAAAGAGAAAGAAAGATCAACTTCATATAGTATTACACATAGTGCCCATGTTGTATTAACTATGATATAAATCAGAAATAAAAAAGAAGTGACATATAAGAAAATAATATTTAAATATGTCAATGAGTGTGACACTCTCCAGAAGATTTAAGAAAGTAATTAGAGGTTTGTAAGGCCTTATAATAAATACAGATTCAGCAGAAGGGGGAAATCAGACATAGGAAGTGCAGGGAAATGACAAGCAGAGGCTTCAGGATAAGAGTTTACAAAACAGTGAATAACTCCATGGAAAGTGCACTGAAAAGCACAGTAAGTCTCCTTTTGACATATATGATAGCCACATTCCTGAATAATTGAGAAAAACTGATTTTTAACTGTGAAATAGAGTTAGATTCTGGATTCAGTTAATTATAACTTAAAAGTCTTAGGGAGTGTGGGACATGTATTAGTGGTGTGAGACTACTCCACATGTCACTGGGTGATCAGCATCTCACCCTGGAAACTTACATGTTAGGACACCCTACACCCTAACCTTGTGACAATAAAAAGTGCTCCTATTGGGCCGGGGGTTTAGCTCAGCCGCGTAAGTGCCTGCTTGGCAAATGCAAAGCCATGAGCGATTCCCAGTACCAAAAAAAGAAAAAAAGAAAAGAAAAGAAATGTTCCTATAAAATTCCAAAATATCTTTCTAGGGGGCAACAATGCTTTTATTGAAGACAAGCACTGGTACATCAACCGAATACTTTGTGTACCTGTGTGAAGAGGCAGAGTACTAGACCTAACTCTGCCTCCCTGTGTGTGTGTGTGTGTGTGTGTGTGTGTGTGTGTGTGTGTGTGTGCACAGATCCATGCTCCCAGTGTGTGAGCTAATTGGTCATTGGTCTCCACAGCAGTAGGCTATCGGTGGGACTCTGGGAGTGTGCAGGTCTGTGCACAAGGGTATGGGCACTATCAGGTGTGTTCTGTCCGAGTATACCCATTCTTAGCCTGATCTGGGCCCTGCCTGTGGCTGCTAGTCTGTGCTGAGGAACACAGATGCATACAGTCTCTCTAGTTTTCCCAGCAACATCAGGGCTCTGTTCATTTGATGCTATCATTGGGTGGGGGAGTGTTTTGTTGTTTGTGGGTTTTTGTTAGCTTTGGTTTTTACTGAGAGTCTGGGCTGCACATTATTCACCTTCTCCATCTTAGTGTGTGTCTCTCTGTCTCCCTATCTCTATTTTTGTTTCTGTCTCTGTCTCGCTCCAGTTCCCTCTCTCTGCCTCTCACTCTCATCCCCGCCCCAGTCTCCTAGATCTTTCTAATCTGTGTTTGTGTATACGAGCAGTTCTCAGCCTTCTCAAACCCAATGTGCTTTTAAAGCATTTATAACACCTCTTTACTATCTGGAAATGGAGAACCTCGTCTCTTTTTCTGTCTCTGTCTCTAATCCTTTCCCTTCTTTGCTGTGCTGTTTCTGTGTGTAAGAATTTTTTTCTCTTCTTCCACTTTGTGTCTCTGTTTCTCTTTCTTCTCTTTCTGCTTCTGTCTTTTCCTCTCTCTCTCTCTCTCTCTCTCTCTCTCTCTCTCTCTCTCTCTCTCACATACACACACAATCATGTACTTCTTTCCTTTTGTCACTCTCTGTGTGTCTCTCTGACTTTGTCTTACATTCGTTCTGTTTCTATTCCTTTCCTCCAGCCTCTACTCAAAGCTAAAGAGTGTGTATATGGATGTGAGCATGTATATTCACATTTATACATATATCACCAAGATCTGAAGATTCCACCATGCTTTGAGGAACTTCTCTCCTGCCTAGGATCTTAAGAACAAGCTACTAGCTGTTAGACTTCACAGTATCATCAGCTCCAGGTGACTGTTCAGGCCAAGTTAGATTGGGCTGCTACCTCTGATTGATGTATTTTGAAATTTTGTTTTATTTTTTTCTCTTTGAAATAAAATGAATTTAAACAAAAAAAAAAAAAAGATTGGGCTGCAAATCAGCACTGAGGGAGACCGCTTTAACTGGAACAAAAAGGTCATAAAGACATGTACTCAGGCTCAAGTCCAGACCAGCCCTAGCTTCCACAATAATCCTAAACATCTCCAGCTTCTGCCCAGGTAGGGGCTGTCTTACTCCTGGGACCTGCCTTATCACCTTATCACAGTCCCACACTCCCAGCCTGTACACACCAAGCATTCTGTTCCCCCTAAGCTGTACTGCAATGCTCTCACTGCACTCTGACACACTCCCCAGGCCTCTCTTTCGACAAGGTCTGCCTGGATGTCTCCAAGGAGCCCTTGTCACCTACCAGTGCATTTAGTCCCTCAATCTATTAATTTGGGATACTTTCACTGAGAGCCTACCATCTGCTCTGTCCTGCTCTTTTAGAAGAAAGTGAGTGTGTCCACAATCCTAGCCCTTATGGAGCTTTCTTTCTAATAACACAGGCAGGCAAGAATCCAAATTTTTAAAGTAAATTATACAGTGTGTTAGAAGAGAGACAATCTAGGGGGAAAATGAGGGTAAGAGGCAGAGAGGTGCTATGACTTCTTACCTGGACTATTGCAAGAACCTCCTGATAGTCCCTCCACTTCTACCTTTGCTCCATATGACTTGTTTTCACAGTAGCAAGTGGGATCTCGTTCAGTTATAAATTATGTAATGTCTTGCCTCTCCTCAGAACTCTCACAAGACTCCTATCTCATCCCAAGTCAAAATCTTGCCATGGCCTTTGATGTCTGTCCTTGCCGTTTTTCTGGCCTCACCTCTCAGCACTTGCTCCTTGCTCATTCTGTTTGCTCATTGTGGTCTTCTTGCTCTTCCCAAAATGTGCCATGCTTAGTCCCACCTAAGGGGTTATGCTCCAGCTGTTCCCTGTGCCTGGGCTTCTATTCCCCCAAATAGCTACATAACTTACTCCTTTACCTCCTCATGTTTGTGGTCAGATAATAATCCTCCATGAAGCCCTCCCTGTACACTGCAGTGAAAACTGCAACACCTTCCTCACATCTACAACTTCCTATCCTCCTTCCCTCCTTTATGTTTATTCTCAGAACTTACATCTGACATACCCACATCTCTTTGTATTATCTATAATATCAGGCTCACAAAGGCAAGGATCTTTATCTATCTGGCTCACAGCTGGATTCTCATTGCCTAGAACAATACCTTATATACATTGGATACTCAGTAAATATCTTTTTCAATGAATGAATGAACAACACAAGCATGCACATCTTTATATTCACCCATACTGCCTGCTTCACCAAAATTAAAACCAATGTTTTCATCATGGCCCACAGCCCTACACAATCTGGCCCTGGACACCTCTGATCTCACCTCTCCCTTTTGCTTATGCCATTCCAGTAACATTGTTTTTCACTGTTCCTTGAGAAATTGGTAGTACATTCCTGATCATGAATAAAAACTAGATTCACAGAGTGATGCCAGAATTTTGTTACATTACACATAGGATCAGGGCCGTTTTGTGAAACTTTTGGTTGAGGGGTGTGTGTGTGTGTGTGTGTGTGTGTGTGTGTGTGTGTGTATGACAGAGAGAGACAGAGAGACAGGCAGAGAGACACAGAGAAAGAGACAGACAGTGAGAGAGAGAGAGAAAGAGAGAGAGAGAATGTATTCATATGTATACTGAGTTGTGATCTAAAATGTCTTGGGATTTGCAAAGGAGGAGAAAAGCTGTACTAACATCCCCATCCCACATAACTCACCAGTGGAGATAAGTAACCAAAGATATCCAGAGAGATAAAGCATTCCCACCCAGCAGGGAGGGAGTAGGACAAAGAGTGGACCAGGCTCAGGATCTGACCCCAGCTGTGGAGTCATGAGGGGGAGGGGCTCATAGACACACTAACCCTACCCTTTCTATTTCTTCCTCACCTTTCCATCTGTTTCTCATTATCTCTCAATTCATTCTCTCTCTCTCTCCACTCTCTTATTGCTCTTTCTCGTCTTGTCCATTTGTGTCATTTTCTGTCCATTTACATCTTTCTTACCATTTTTCTGTCTTTCCCACTCTGTCTCTGCGTGTCTGTGTTTATTTTTCTCTCTGTCTCTCTCTCCTGCCCTCATCTCTCTGTCTTTCTGTGTCTGTGTTTTCCCCCTTGTCCACATTTGCAGGTACAGCCCAGCAGGACAACTGATGGAGTCCCTCAGGACCCATCGAGTACCAGACTTGCTCACCCTGTAGGGTTTTGAGTAGCCCTTGCCCCTCAGTATGGCCAACACCACCGGAGAGCCAGAGGAGGTGAGCGGCGCATTGTCCCCACCGTCAGCATCAGCTTATGTGAAGCTGGTGCTGTTGGGACTGATCATGTGTGTGAGCCTGGGGGGCAATGCCATCTTGTCCCTGCTAGTGCTCAAAGAGCGTGCCCTCCACAAAGCTCCTTACTACTTTTTGCTGGACCTGTGCCTAGCTGATGGCATACGCTCTGCCGTCTGCTTCCCCTTTGTGCTGGCTTCTGTGCGCCACGGCTCCTCATGGACATTCAGTGCACTCAGCTGTAAGATTGTGGCCTTTATGGCCGTGCTCTTTTGCTTCCATGCAGCCTTCATGCTGTTCTGCATCAGCGTCACCCGCTACATGGCCATCGCACACCACCGCTTCTACACCAAGCGCATGACACTCTGGACATGCGCAGCTGTTATCTGCATGGCCTGGACCTTGTCTGTGGCCATGGCCTTCCCACCTGTCTTTGATGTGGGGACCTACAAGTTTATCCGAGAGGAGGACCAGTGCATCTTTGAGCATCGATACTTCAAGGCCAATGACACTCTGGGCTTCATGCTTATGTTGGCTGTGCTCATGGCAGCCACACATGCTGTCTATGGCAAGCTGCTCCTCTTTGAGTACCGTCACCGCAAGATGAAGCCAGTGCAGATGGTGCCAGCCATCAGCCAGAACTGGACATTCCATGGTCCTGGGGCCACTGGCCAGGCTGCTGCCAACTGGATCGCTGGCTTTGGCCGCGGGCCCATGCCACCAACCCTGCTGGGTATCCGGCAGAATGGGCACATGGCCAGCCGGAGGCTGCTGGGCATGGATGAGGTCAAAGGTGAAAAGCAGCTGGGCCGCATGTTCTACGCAATCACACTGCTCTTTCTGCTCCTCTGGTCACCCTACATCGTGGCCTGTTACTGGCGAGTGTTTGTGAAAGCCTGTGCCGTGCCTCACCGCTACCTGGCCACTGCTGTTTGGATGAGCTTCGCCCAGGCTGCTGTCAACCCAATCGTCTGCTTCCTAATCAACAAGGACCTCAAGAAGTGCCTGAGGACTCATACCCCTTGCTGGGGCACAGGAGATGCCCCAGCTTCCAGAGAACCCTATTGTGTCATGTGAAGCAGATGGGTAGGCAGACATGCAGGGAAATGGTCCTGGGCACCGTGATGGGGCCAACAGCAAGCAAAGGGTGGGGCCCCATACAGGGGCCTTCTTTTCTGAGTTCCAGCCTCAGTCTTCAAACCAACAATAATCTAGGAACCTTTGCCAACACCTCCTTAGGGTGGGGGGCTGGATGGAAAACTGGGAAAGAGGCATTTCTAGTTTGTGGGGCCTGTCTCTGCAGCCTCCTTCTCCATTTCTACATTCTCATATTCTCACTTGCTCTCCCTCTTTCCTTCCCCTTCTCTCAAATGACAATGCAGAAAAAGAAAACAAAATTCAAAATTCAGGTTTTTCTACCAACAGCTGAGGAGACAGGATGTCTTGCTTTATATATCTCCCCTTCTCTGATTGTCTAGAAGAGAGAAGATTGTCATGTAAAATAGATTGCCAGAGCTCTTATTGCTCCTTTTGCTCCCAGGCACCTTTCCTTCCCAAGTCCTTTAGCAAGACCTGAGTGTGTAGGGATAAATTAATTCAAGGCTTCTGACAACAGGGACAAGAGAGGGGACTAGGTCCACAGGGAGCAAGATTAATTGCTGTGTTGTGTGCAATGTTGTTTTGGGCAAAGCCTGATCCAAGGCCCAATCATTTCTCCCTCCCCACCATGCCTAGACCTTCCAAGTGTTTCTTGAGGATCTGTTTGAGAAGCATGAAGGACAGGGAGAAGGTCCCCCAGTATGGGCCCAGGATAGGTGAAGAGCAAGATGTGAGCTGAACTGCTCAAGCTAAAGAGACCAAGCTTGGCTGCATTTTCTTACACTGCCTCCTTAACCCCCAGCCCCTATCCCTCCTTCTTGAGGATGGAAATCTACTCCACCCAACTAGAGCTGATGTGGGGGTCCTTCAGGCAGGAGATACCTTGAAAGGAAGTATAAAGAGGAACCTGAACTTTCTGGAGCAGCTGAATCTCATAGCCTGGGGTCAGAGCTGAATTTAACCCCAAAATTGTCTCCTGGGTTTACACTAATCTTCTGAAGATGAAAATTCTTTTTGGGCCTTGATAACTGATCATGGTACAAACTCCAAGGCACAATGGACTTGAGTCTATTTTTATCTGACCCCTTTTTGTCCCCCTCAAAACTCAGGGCCTGAAGCCCTTTCTCAGTAGCCCATGGACTTCTGGGTCCTCAATCCCAAACATCCTTGCTCCCTCCCAATTTACCAACTGGGACAGATTGAAGCCAGATTCTCCAGGTGAAAGGTCTCCAGCCTCCATTGCCGGGGCAGAATCCACTGCGGTCTTACTTCAAGGCCAGTTCTGTGGATTGGTGAGCCAGCTAGCACTCCTTTGCCTGGATTTGCCCAGGCTCTCTGTCCCCTTCTCATTTCTTCTGGGGATAGGGACCTATCTATGTTTTTCTACATCTCTTTTTCCCGTCCTTCTAGAAGCCCCTGCCTAAGATCTTTCCAAACTCCAAGACAGTCCCCGAACTGGGGAAGCCTTGAACAAAGGGACTGAGGAGGGCACTCTGTGCAGGAGAGAATTATGGAGCCTGGCTGTGGAGTGGTGCTGGAAAGGTGGGCCAGAGTGGCTGAGAGACTGGGGTGGGGGTACCTGTTCTCTCAGTGATAGTGATGGGGGTGCCTTTCCAAGGGGATGGGGTGGGAACAAGAGGGGTGGGGGTAAATAGGGTACACTCTGGAGGATTTTCCTCCATTTCTTTTTTCTAGCTGCCTGGATTCATCACTGGATTTTGTAAATGGGAAAACTAAAATGAACAATGCTCTATTGGATGTATTCTTTTTCTGACTGCATGTATATGTGTGTGTAGGTGTGCATGCTTGTCTGTGTGTCCTGTCTGTGTGACCTCATGTGGGAAAGTATGACTGATTGAGATAGCGTGTGTCTGTGTGACGAGGAGCCCTTAAGGAAAACTCAGCTGGTGCTTATAAGCCAATGCCTATGTGTGGAGACGTATAGCATGCAAACATACACATACACATACATCTTGTTGAAAGGAGACAAGCTACAGTACATGTTGACACAGACAGTAAGGTAATCAGGAGATAGTCTGGAAATTGTATGTATGTATGTATTTATGTAGAAAGAGGATTGACACCCAACTCATAAGATTGTCTTCCCTTTGTTCAGGCTCTGAGGAAAGGAGTCCAGGATACTTAAGAACCATGTTCATCTCCTCCCTCCTTTCCTGAGCGACTCAATCCTCTCCCCAAAACTCAAACAATATGTTCTTGAACTGAGACAATCATGGAGAATAGGGCTGATAAATTGAAGTTCAAACACCGAGAGAGCTGATTGGGATAGGAAATACCCTTACAAAGTTAATAGTTTCTAGAAGAACTGTCTAAGCAGGAGCCTTTCTGCAGGGCCCACTATATACACGTGGGATTTGGTCAGCTTTGCCTAAATTCAGAAAAGTAATGTCATGGTAAAAAAAAAAAAGTCTGGAAACCTACCCAGTTGTCCTGGACACTCAGTTCTCTATTTGTTTGCTGAATTCTCTTGGGTACACAGAATTGAGTTGACCATACTCCTCAGTTCTTAGCCACATTGTATCATCATAGGATCATGCAAGGCCCTTTTATTCTTTGTTTTCTTTTTGTAGGAAAATCCATCCCTGATTCCATCCTCCCACACCTCACATAGGCACCCACTCTTTCATATTTAACATGTGTCCTTTCATCCACTGGTCATGTGTTTATTTACATGTGTATTATGGAAAAATGTTGTTTTAATTTATGTAAACAGTATTGTACTGCAAATCTTGTTCTGTTTTTTCACTCAGTATTCTGTTTTTAAGAGATGCAGCCACGTTGCTGTACACACACCTAATTCATTCTAGTTATCCATCTTAAAGTATTTGTTACATTTTCCTGTCTATTCGCCTGGTGATGAATCCCTAGTTTCCCCCCCCCCCCCACTCAGCCTCATTCTCTGCGAAGACAAGGCTGCAACGGGCAGTTACCTACACTTCTTTTTAGGGACATGTGATGTAGGAAAAGAAACAAGCTCAGATAAGAGCAGTGATTTGGCACTCCCATTGATGTGAATTCCAAAGCCCAAAGCCAGATGCCACCATCATGCCTCACTCAGGGCCATCTGTCTGTAGTCATAAAAAAAAAAAAAAAAAAAAAAAAAAAAAAACTTGAGATGATTCAAAGCAGATAAACTGAAGAAATATTTAGTAGATGAAGAGATAGCCCTAGAAAAAACTAGGTGAGCTGAATCAATTATTTTATGACGCAAACGAAGTTTTCTCTCTGTGTGTGATTATTTTTAGTGTCATTTTTGTAGAGATGGAAAACATCACCTTAGTCTGGCCCGCATACAAAAGAACCTTGGTCCCTAAATTGCAGGCGCTAGGTCAACCAGTGTTCTCAGAAGATACTGCAGAGTTCACCCTAGGAGCAGAAGCAAGGAATGAGGGAAGGGGCAGATTTCAGAATTGCGTAGTTGCTAGGGGGAGGGGAGTGAGGATGACAGCGAGGCTCTACAATTTTGAGCACAACCAGCTCAGTGCCTGCGTTTGTTTTTCGTTTTTTCTGGTCTTCCGAACATTTAGTACTTTTTCTATTGGATAAAACGTTACAAGAGAGAGAAAGCTTCTACCCCTCGCAGCCAATCGCCTGGCAGGTTTCTTATCGTTGGGGGGAGTGGCCAACTCTATGATTGGCGGATGCGAGGGGAGCCAATCGGAGAGTGATGACGTGTAGTGTTGGCAAGCAGATTGCTTGAGAGCAGGTAGGGATCCAAGGAGCGCGAGTCAGGCCGCCGCGGCCAGCAGCCAATGATGAAGCAGAGCAAGGCTCTTGCCTTGAAGAGTGGGCGGGGCTTTGGCAATTGGCGCGGAGGGAGTAGGGTAGGCGCTGTGGTAGGGGACGAGTGAGGCAGTGAGCTGAGCTAGTCCTGTGAGGTTAGACAGCTGCACTTCAGGTGTGACTGGTAGCAGCTGCTGGACTGAAAGAGAAAGAGCAAGTGCAATCGCCTGAGCTTTGTGAGCGCAGTCAGCATGTATCGCCCAGATGAGGGTCCTCCTGCCAAGACCCGCCGCCTGAGCAGTTCGGAGCTCCCTCAGCGCGGCCAGCCGCCGCTGCTGCCGCTGCCGCTGCCGCCGCCACTACCGACACCACCACCACCACCACCACCGCTCCTTCGATTGCCCCTGCCTCCACCCCAGCAGCGACCAAGGCTCCGAGAGGAAACCGAGGCAGCACAGGTGCTGGCTGACATGAGGGGGGTGGGACTGGGCCCGGCGCTGCCCCCACCTCCGCCCTATGTCATTCTTGAGGAAGGGGGGATCCGCGCATACTTTACCCTGGGTGCTGGGGGGCCTGGCTGGGATCCTGCGATGGAGTCAGGGTACGGGGAGGTACCCCATTCCACAGGGAGCCTGGAAACATTCCCCTTGTCTGAGGCCTCTGGGGGAAGCCTGGAAATTGACGTTGAGGTTGCAGAGGCCAGCAGCTCTGCTGAAGAAAAGGCCCTAGAAACCTGTAGCTCAGGGATGTGGGAGCCCCAGATGTTAGTCGGTCCAAAGAGGAATGAACAGGCTATCATAATAGTGGAAGATGAGGATGAGGATGAAAAGGAAAGTGTGAGGAGGAGGAGGAGACGGAGAAAGAGGAAGCAGAGGAAAGTGAAGAAGGAAAGCAAAGACAGGAGTACTGAAAGGATGGAAAGCATCCTGCAGGCACTGGAGAGCATTCAGATGAACCTGGAAGCTGTAAACATAAAGGCAGGCAAGGCCTTCCTGCGTCTGAAACGCAAGTTCATCCAGATGCGAAGACCTTTCCTGGAGCGCAGAGACCTCATCATCCAGCATATCCCAGGCTTCTGGGTCAAAGCAGTATCCTTCTCATTGATTCTCATGGGCCACAAGCCTGTGGTAGAAAGGGAGAGGTAGGGAGAAGGACAGTGAGGGTGAAAGGGTGCTGGGGAGGGCCAAAGATGAGATGAGCCCCTTATGAGAAGATGGGCCAGAATGGGTGAAAGAGGGAGGGAAAGAGGAGGGAAAAACAGAGAAGCTGGACTGCAGATGATGAAGGAGGAAGGGAGCATAGCATAAAAACCTGACCTCGGATGGGAAAGGTGAAAAGAGCATAACCAAAAAAATGGATCACAATTAAAAGGGGGAGGGTAATAGGCATGCACCTGAAAAATTGGACCACAGGTGGTGAAAGGAGGAGGGGAAGGGCATACAGAAGATGAACTGACTCAGAGACAGTGAAGAAGGAGAAAGGCGTACAGCAGAGAACCTGCCCAACTGTGTGCTTGAGCTTCACAGGGCTCTGCAAGCCTAGATCTCTGCATAGATACCAAGAGATTCCAGTCCTGGATGAAGTGCTCTCCATTAGAGGGGAGGGAGCTGGAGAGGTGCTGGAGCCCCTGAAGGGTCAGGAGAAAGAATACCTGGGTATGGACATCAAGGAGTTAAATGAAAGAAGGGGGAAATAGGAACAATCCCATTCACTATTGGTGATTGTTAAGCATATCCCAGAGGAATACATCTGGGGATGAGGAATACATGTCAGTGTAACATGTTAGGGACACATAGATTTAACATCTCAACAGGATTATATGAATACTCTGGTACACTGGCACCCTGGTATAAAGTAGCATATGATCACAAGCACTCAGCACTCAGGCACACAGTATCACGTAGACACAAGACAACACAGACACAGTATTATGCGACCATAGGTCCTCAGCACAAACACACCTAGCATCACTTGAACACAGGCCCTCAGAGCTATTTACTCAACATCCACATATAACATCATGTGACTACAGGCCCTCAGCAACTGGATACAGCAGCACTTAGACACAGGACCTTCAGCTTCAAGGTATACTAAAGTGAATACAGACCCGCAGCATCTAGAAACAAAAATCTCATGAACATAGATCCTCAACATCAAAACACAGCAAATATGAACCACTTTTCACAGAGGCTTAATGTTACATGAACAATCTAACCACATAGATGGTATCATGGTAATACAAGTACAGGTCACATCCTATAACCCACCTGTTCCATATATATTGCAAGAACACAGCCTCTCCTGCTCCAGCCTCTCTTGCTGTGCCCTGCCTGGCCTTCCCTCCCTCATCATTGAACAGTTAATCCTTGACCTAAACTGCTCCACTCATCAGTTTCTCAACCACCCCAGAATTTCAATCTTGATCAATCAACGCGATGAAGACATTTTTCGCTACTTGACCAATCTTCAGGTCAGGCCAAAGAGGAAGGCCAAGGAATCTGGTTCTTTGAGGTGAGGGGAATAGAAGGGGCAATAAGGGAGGGCAGATTCTACCATTACCCCCACCTTGAGCAGGTACAGGATCTCAGACATATCTCCATGGGCTACAAAATGAAGCTATACTTCCAGACAAACCCCTACTTTACAAACATGGTGATTGTCAAGGAGTTCCAACGCAACCGCTCAGGTAAGTGGAAGTCCAGGATAAATCCATGCCCCCCCCCATCATTAGTCAGTCTCCTCTTCATGGCTTCCTCTTTCCCTAGGCCGGCTAGTGTCTCACTCCACTCCAATCCGCTGGCACCGGGGCCAGGAACCCCAGGCCCACAATCACAGAAACCAGGACACCAACCACAGCTTCTTTAGCTGGTTCTCAAACCACAGCCTCCCAGAGGCTGACAGGATTGCTGAGGTGAGGCCACTTCCTGGTATGACCAGAAAAAACCTTGTTAGGCTTGCCCTGAGTGCCTGGGGAACTGGAAGTAAGACCTGAGGCTTATATTTATGGCTCTGCTCTTCCTTTTCTCTTCTTTTTCAACAGATTATCAAGAATGACTTGTGGGTTAACCCTCTACGCTACTACATGAGAGAAGGGGGCATCAGGGAAACAAGGAAGAAGCAAGAAGAAAAAGAAAGGTGAAGGGGGAATGGTGGCTGAGCAGTGGTTTGTGGGAGATGGGGCAAAAACTAGGCTAGTATCACAGAATTCATAGAGCCACAAGGGATCTTTGAGATAATTTAGTGCAGTGCTCTGCAAGTGAGGAATGCCCAGAAATGGCCTGAAGTTGTATGCATAGGTCAGGCTTAGAAATGGGACTCTCCCTAGCCTAGCCTAATCCCTAAGGACCCTCATAGACTGCAGCCTCTCCAGTTACTTGCCACCTTTCAGTGTCTGCCCTGGGCCTCCTATTAACCCCATACTCAGCCCCAAACTTCCCCACAGTAAAGCCAAGGATGCATATGAGATGGTGATCATGGAAGATATTTATGACCATTATGCCATGGAAGACATTCTCAGTGAGATCTCAGATGCTGATGAGACTACTGACAATGAGATCATTCATGACATCAAGATCTTTGACTTCATGGAGACTACTGACTACTTCGAGACCACTGACAATGACGTCAATGAGAGCCTGGGTGAGAGCCTGGGTGACAGTGAGAGCCCTGACCACAATCAGAGCCCCAGCATTGAGATCACTGACAACAATGAGAGTGCTGATGACAACGAGAACCCTGATGACAACAGTGAGAACCTAGAAGACAGTAATAAGAATACCTATGACAATGAGTATCCCAACAATGAGAATCCTAATGGTGACAACAATAGCCTGGAAAATGGCAACCTGGGCAGCAGTGGTAATAACGAAAACAGCAGTGACAGTGACAGTGGGGATGAGGGCAGTGATGATGAAGATAATGATGGCAGTGATGGTGACAATGAGAGCAGTGATGATGATGGCAATGAGGGGGACAATGAGGGAAGTGATGATGATGATAGAGACATTGAATACTACAAGAATGACATTGTAGTGTTTGACAAGGATCAAGATAACAGCACCATCCAGGAAAACTATGAGGATGAGGTAGAGATCATCTCTGAAGAATCCACAGAGGAAGCGGAAGAGGGCAGTGAGGAAGGTGAGCTAGACCCCTCTTATCTTCCCCCATTCTCTTTTCTCAGAGAAATCCTGGTGCATGGTATTTAGACATGAACACAGTAGAATCTTGTGGAGGAAAGGGAAAGAATTCTTTTTTAAACAATGAAGGCCAGAAAACATTTAACTTAAAAATGTAACAAAGCCAAAGAAATAGTTCAGTTCCAAGTGATGGTGGACAGGAAATAGGACACAGTGTGTGGAAAACTAAAAAGGGCACATATACACAGGGGAAAGAATGACACATTCAACATACTGTGTCCCCAGCCCTGGCCTCCTAGGAACTAGCAGGCTTGTTTGGGCTGCTGGGAGTAAAGTGAACAGTGAACTGTGAACTGTGAGCCCAGAGGATGGGCGTGGCAACTAATTCTACATCAAGAGTTGGGAATGTAAAGAGAGAGCTAGAGAAAAGGGGTGAACTTTAAATTAGAAGCCACATTCTCACTGAGAAGCACTGTGGGTCATTCTTTGTGGAAGGGAGAATTTGGCAAGGACCTGGAAGGGTGAAAATGCATAGTACGTTGGGCAAGATTTCCAAAATTGTCTTCTGGGGGTGCTTCACCAGTTCTGAAAGCTGCTTCTCACAGAAGACCTTGGTGATAAAAAAAAATCAGAGATATACTGCATATAATACTTCTTGTAGGCAGGCATGGTGGCACATCCCTGTAATTCCAGCACTTGGGAGGCTGAGGCAGGAGGATTTCCATGAGTTTGAAGCTAGCCTGGGCTACATAGTGAGTTCAAGACCAGCCTGAGCTACATGGCAAGGCCCTGTCTCAAAGAAAAACAAAATAATAATAGCAACAACAACACTAGCTCTTGTAGAATCAAGAGTTGTCAGTCTTTTTTCCTTCCCACCTGATGGTATTTCTTCTAAGAATGGGAAGCAGAGCTGTCTGCTCAACCCTAAAGTGGGTTGGGGTAAGGGAATTGGGCTTAAAAAGACAGACTGGGGCCTGTTTGGATCTGATTGTGAGGAAGTAGTGAGGGAGCTGGCTGGGAGTGATAGGTTTATTCAGCTGAGGTTTGAGCTCAGGAAGAAACACACATTGAGTATAGTGAGGAGAAAAAGCTACTTTCAGAGAGGTATCAATTTTGATAGAACAAAGATAGGGAGCCTGCCCTTTTTTCCTGCCTCCCTTCCACTCCCCCCTTACCCTGTGGGCCTTGTTCCAAGCAAAGGCCCATGGCAAGTGATACCAGGCCCTCAAAAGCCCTAGCTATGTGTTCTGTTTCCTTTTAAAGGGCTGTTTACCTGCCTGTCTAATGCCCTGCACCATTTGCCCTTCCTTGCTTCTCTCCCCTCCACAGGTGAGGACAGCTACCAGGAGGAAGGAAGCAAAGTAGACTCAGAAGACACTGACATGGAGCAGGTGCTTCAGGTTCCAAATGCTTGGTCTAACCTGGGGAAGAGGGCGAAAACCAGATAAACAGCTTACTCTCTCGGGGCATCTCTCTGTTTCGCTCTTTCCCAGTGCCCCGTTTGCTCTCCCCCTCAGTTAGGGCTCCCATGTTGCATTTCTGACCTCATACATGGGTTTAAAGTTTATTTTTATGTAATCTCAGTAATTTCAGAGTTCTTATTTGTGGGGGTAGCGATCCCCGCTTTTTTGGTCCTCCTCCCTCACGGGCTTCTGTGTGCTGCTACTTATTGTGATGCCTTGGTCAGGGCTCCTCTAGCCCTCTTCTCTTTGGTGTCGGCCCCAGCCCTTTTTCCCATGCTATGGAGTAGACACCCTGATTCCAAAGTAGGGAGGGCTGCTATGGCCTTCATCGAAGCGTCACAGTGGCCTTGAAGGCTCTGCCTCCATCTTGTTCGCCCAATTTTTTCTCTTCTTCCATCCATCTCTTTTACCCACTGTGCCTGCTAACTTGCCAGGCCTTGGTATCTATGCAAGGCCACTTAGCCTTTGCTGGATTCCTGCCCTTCCTCCCACCGCTGCAGCAGAAGTTACGCTTCTCCCTGTGAATATTGATGATCCTAATAAAAACCTGAGCAAATTCAAAGTGCTGTTTGAGTCTTTGGTCCGTCCCAGTGCGTCGTCCCTAGTGGCCAGCCTCCCCACAGACCAGCACAAAGCTTCCTACTCCATGCAGGGCCCTGGGAGATGGTAGTAGCTCCAGGGTTTGGTCAGTGATTGAGGGGAGCCTAGCTGAGGCCATTGCATCAGACCTTTGCAGACTGCTCCAGCTAATGGCTGAATGATGCTGTGAAAGCACCTCTTGGTCCTTGCAGCTGCCTAGGACCCAGCCAGGTAGCAAAGAGCTTCCCTCTCATTTCCCTCTGGTGCAAGAATAGAGAGACATTGTGTGTCATAGAACATCAATTTAATAGTGATTCATCTGTTTCATTTACTAGTGCACTTTCCTTTGGGCCTAGTGTGAGTTGGGCGTGGGGCAGCCAGAGGAGTCCATTTTTCTCTTTGGCATGTAGTAAAAAAAAAAAAAAAAGCACCAACCATACCAATACCACAAGATCATACCTGAGTACTCTCTTTGGGAGGTAGTGCAAGGTTCTCCTGGAGTTGGGCCTGGGAGAAAAGGCAGGAAAAAACATGGCTAAGCTGAGGAGTTTTCATAGAGATAAAGGAAAACCTCTTAGATGTACAGTGGGGTGGGGAGGTTGGGAGTTGTATCTCTGTAAAACAGCCTTTACTTGGGTGACCTTGGAAAAGCTGAGCTGTATTAAATTTTGGATACAATAATCATTTCACCAGAAATGTTTCTCAGATTATTTCTCATTTTTTATCATAATGGTAAATTTCACACAGGCTTTGGTCGGTCTTTTAGGATACAATGTATCCCTGGAACATTACATCCAAGGCTTTTATCAGGGTTTCAGATGCGGTCGGATTTGTATTTTCAAGAATGCCTTCTACTGGCTTCTAGGAGAATGGATGGGAGGGAGGGAGAACAATGGGGAAGTTGACCTAAATCTCAAATGAGAGTGGCATAGGGACATGGGAGAGGTTGTTTTCTTTAATTTTAATTTCAGAAAAGTTTTAGATTTGTGGAATTATTGCAAACATAATACAGAGAAATTCTGTATATTCCACAACTAGTTTCCCTTGTTAAAAGTTAATGAACCTATATCAGCACGTAATGATTAATCAAGGTCCATACTTTATTCAGGTTTCCTTAATTTTAACCTGTTGTCCTTTTTTGTTTCAGGTTCTCATCCAGGATACCACCCTATATTTTAGTCATCATGTCTCTAGGCTCCTCTTGGGCTGTGATATTTCTCACTCTTTCCTTGTTTTTGACAACCTGTTCTCACCATTTGTCTTGGTTACTTTTCTCTCGTTGTTGAGACAAAATATTTGACACCCAAAATGAAGGAAAGAAAGATATATTTAGCTTACAATTTTTGGAGGTTTCAGTCCATTCTCGGCTGCCTCTAAGGTAAGGTGGTATGGCTGAGGGGCAACCATTCATGGTGGCCACAAGTTACAAGAACTAATGGTAAAAAGGAGAAAGCATGCCTCCTTCCCTCCCTTGTATGGTATGCCAGCTACCCACCCCTGGGCAGAGGCAGCACTCACACCACCAATCCCAGTGCTAGACAACAAACCAATCACATATGCTAAAGTTAGACACCTCCATGACTGCATGAGGCTTAGGGGGCCATCCAAACATAAACCATAACATCATTTGAGGAGTACTGGTCAGGTATTTTGTAGAATTTCCCTCGACTGGAATTTATCTGATGTTTTTTCTCATGACTAAAGAGGGTTATGAGTGTGGAAAGGAAGACCACTGAAGTAAAATGCTGTTCTCATTATATCAAGTATATATACCATCAGTATGATTTATCACTGTTGACATTAACTTTGTGACCTGGCTGAGGTACAGTTTGTCTAGTTTCTTCACTCTAAAGTTATTTGTTTCTCTGTTTTCTGTGGCATGCTCTTTGGAAAGAAGCCACTAAGTATATAACCCATGCTTAAGGAATAAGGAGTTAAGTTTCATTTCTTTGAGAGAAAGTATCTACATAAATTAATTGAACTTGTTCCACATGAGAAATCTATCTATTCCATGAGAGCTTTTAACATGCTAAAATTGACAAGTTTTAGATACAGAAAGAAAGGGACTTGGAGGAGTCAGGATGACTGCCAGGTTGCTGTTGCTCTAGGCTTCTTCTTTCAAACAGCTGGCATACCAGATCAAGGAAATAACTCTTCATGCTTCTGATAAATGTTTTGGAAGAGGACAGAGTATTGATGTTTCTGGTTCTGACTTTGACTCACTTTGTCAGAGATGGATAGAAAAGACTGAATCTTAGAAAGGGAGAACATCATATTGAGTGGGTGGTGCATGTCTGTAATCCTATCACTTGGGAGGCTGAGGCAGGAGGATCACTGTGAGTTCAAGGCCAGCCTGGACTACATAGAGAGACCCTATCTCAAAAAAGAACCAAAGAAAAGTAGAACATCTTGACTGAGTGTGGTGATACATACCTGTAGTCCTGGCTACTCAAGAGGCTGAAGCAAGGTAATTAATTGAGTCTAGAAGTTCTAGACAAGCCTGAAAATATAGTGAGACTCTAACTCAAAAGGAAAAAACTACTAAAAAGGAGGGGCACATCTCACCCAAGGTAATACAATACCTCGAGATAAAGCTGAAAGTGCAGAACTCTTAAGGCATGCAGAGTAGATAATCTCCCTGAACTATCTGGAACTAGTCCGGGTGGGCACATGTGATACAGTAAGGGAGAAAAGGAGGTATTAGGGGTGAAAGGTTTGGCCCAGACAGGACACTGTAGCCAGGAAAGCCACAACCGGAAGCAGGAAGCCCCATCTTGCCCTGCCCCTAGGAAGTTACCTGTGACGCCATCTTCCCGCCCCTGGGAATTTACATATGGCGCCAAACATAGGACCAATGGGCTACCTGTGTATCCCTAATGCCCGCCTTAGGTTCCACCCCAAACCGAGGCTATTTACAGGCCCCCACGCCACGTGTCTGCCGGAGAGATTGCCGGACGCCAGCGGTGGGGGTGCCGGTCATCTCTCTCCGTGTTCTCAGAATAAAGGCCGCTTTTTATTTTATATTTCTCATCTTTTGTTAATATTTTTCATCTTTTGGAAATAACTCTATCAAGGGGCAAAGGCCTTGGAGTGGGCCAGAAAGAGATCAGCCTGGAAAGAGGATCTCAGCTCAGTTCCTCTTTTTCTTTCCCTAGGATTGAACTCAGGTTTTTGTGCACCCTAGACAAGCACTCTATCACTGAGCTATATCCCCAGCCCCAGTCTGGTTCTCTGGCCTCAATCTGCTCTAATTTACAACAGTTTTCCTATCTATAACCTTAGGCTAATCATCTGGGGAATCAGCCCAGGAAAAGCAACCTGCCCAGGATTCCAAGATGCGGTCCAGCCCTGAATCTGGCCTTCATACTCATCCCTGATTACATCCTGACTCCTCCCTAATCAAATCTGTAACTCTTCATGTTGGCCTTTGAGTCTCTTCTTTATCTACTTAGTCAGAGAGAGCCTCTGGTCTTCAGAGACATTGTTAGGAGCTTGTTTTGGAATTCTAATCTAGTCGGTAAGTATGCTCATGTCCTGGCCTGAGGCATGGAAGCAGAAGATGTTCTTTGCCCAGAGAAAAATCTTGTTCCCTGTGCCCTCACTTCTCAGTCTGTGCCTCCAAAAACAGGGGATATTCTAGAAGATCTAGCTCCAAAATATAATCTTCACTTAAGACCAGAGAAGACAGGCTCTATTTCCTGGGATCTTAGACAGAAACCAGGAGAATGAATAGCCATAGTTCCAATGTACCCCAGCTCCTGTTCACATGCCAAAACTACTTGGCTCCATATTCTTTAAAGCTTACTCCCTCTGCAGGAAAGGGTACTGCTCCTAGGTGGAAGGGTCCCATATCTCCTGCAGCCAGACCTTTGAAGTATTACCCATCTCTGAAGACAGAATCAAATTGCCAATGGCAAAAATACATTTAAGAACATCTCTCCTTGGGTGCACAAAAGGCCAGCAGTGGTTCTTTCAGTTGAGAGTGCAGAGGATGGCTGAAGAGGAATTCTATTATCCATTCAATAAACACTTATTGAACACCAACTGTGTGTGCCATACTACAATGGATGATAGGGACACTGCAAGGAAACAAAAGAAAGCAAGTCATTGTCCTCCTGGAGCCCAGAGTTCAAGTTTAATTTTTTGTGCATAGCTGTTTGGTGATCTAGTGAAGTCTACAAGCCTTTTCTCAGAAAAAAATTTAAGTGCCTAAAATACTTAGAATTTCAGAGGAAACATTACATTTTAAAATTGTATATAGTAGTTATTAAGATATGAAGAAAGCATATATGTGTCTATGGTAATATATGTGCTCCCCATTAATTCATTAAATCGTAAGCTTTTATAGAGTAAAGACTACCATTATTTTAAAACAGCGATGAGATTGTATATTTTATTTCACATCTCTAAGGGGGTCTGATAAATCTCTGTGATTTCTATTGGTGACAGAAATACTATTATAGTTAGTTGCATTCTTTATTGAAAAGTACTGTAGTAAACTTTATTAGTAGAGGGGAAAATAAAAGATGTAAATTTTTTCCCATTCAGGTTGATGGGCCCCTCCAAACCCTGTCCCCCAGAGTCTACTGAAGTCTACAAAACCCAAATTGAAACCCCTGTTAATAACAGGTCCTTCCTGTCTCCCCTTCCTCCTTAAAACAGATTTCCTTTGGAAGACAGAACCCTGGATTTTATTGTGGATAACGGCTGTGCGACTTCAAGCCAGTCAGTCTGACCCTTGGGGCTGTAGTTTCCTCCATCTGAACATGGGGAAAAGAGACTTTAATTATTTACTACTCATGGAATTATTTTATGTTCTCTCATTTAGTCAGCACAATACGGGGGGTTAAATATGTTTCCATTTCGCAGATGATTTAACTGAGGCACCTATGGGGGTTACCACTTGACCAATGGTAGCAGAGGCTGGTGAGTGATGTACCATATCCACCTATCCTCCTTGGGCGGAATTAGGAACTCTGTTTACCTCGACAAAGCAAAACTTGGCTCAGAAATCTCTGCAGGTGGGTGTGGAGCTGTGGAAAACTGGGACAGAGTCGTATTTCTTAGCAGAGCGGGCGACGTGCAAAGTACCTTGTGCAGAGGAAAAGCGTGACTGGCGCTGGCCTGGCTTGGGCTTCGCGCTTGCGTGTTCCCAAATAATGCTTTTAAGCCCTAATAGGCGGGCACTCCTTTCTCGGCCAATCCTATTAAAGAGATGGCTTGAATTATAAACCAATCAGAAGCCCCAAAAGGGAACGAGTTTTCTTCTGCTTGGATCCTGGCCTAGAGGGTGAAAATAAAGTGTTTCCTTCTCCGCCAATTCCAGGGAAGGCTGAAGGTGCTCCTCCAATGGGAGCCTTGACACCTCCGTTATAGGTGGAGACTCGCGACCCCGCCCCTGCTCGAGTTGGAGGTGGGGAAGCCTCCAGAGTATTCTCCAGATCCTGCTGCGGGCCCTTGGTGTCATTTTGCCCGCGGCGTTGGCAGTGCGGACAGCCGGAGCTTAGGGTGAGAAGCCAGGAAATAGGGCGGCGCAGAAAGGGGGAGTGGCGGGGTAGGAGAGGCCGGCTCAGAGCGCTAGAAGGTTGGAGCCTGAGCGAGCTTTCACCTGGGTGGTCTCTCGACCCTAGGCCGACGGGTGGCAAAGGGTCCTGCAGGTAGCAAAGTGAGGGCGAGTGCCCCTTCGGCCCCTAGACGGCAAACCGGTGAGTATACTGCGAAGCCTACTATCTGTGCTTCTCCTCTGCTTCCTCCTCACAGTTTCCAGGGAAATGATTCTGTGCAGATCTGCCACTCACGTCACCACCTGTGTACCTGTCTGGCCATCTCTCCCCGACCTCACAGACACTGCACTAGGCAGCCCAGACCTTAGAGGCTTAATCCTGCCTTGACCTATGAAGACTACCTATAAGACCTGGAACTACCTACTTCACCCATCTGGGCCTCAGTTTCAGCATCCGTGAAATGGGGCTACATAACTTTGCCCAGTAACTGGCCCCTAGAAACTTTTCTATAGTTAATGACTGTCGTAACTGAAAAGATGAACATCTCACTTGTGTCACCCACTCTCCTACAAATATCCTGCCTTTCAACCACATCTCAGCTACCCAGTCCAACAGTATCACCCTTCTTCTTAGCAATATCTATGACTCTATTGCCTCTGTAAGCTCATTTATTGACATCCTCCTTCCTTCTAGCTCACTGCGTTTAGTACCTCTGCTTCCACTGGGACGGAACAACTTTTTACCCTTAACTTTTTTTTTTTTTTTTTTTTTTTTTTTTTTTGCCTTTTTCCTTTTTATCGGTACTGGGGATCGAACTCACGACTGCCTGCTTGCAAGGCAGGCGCTTATGCCGCTGAGCTAAATCCCCAGCCCTTTTTACCCTTAACTTTTTTCCCATGCTTCCAATCCCCTTGTTTAAACAGATTCATGATAGGACCATAATTCATAAGTCTTGCCACAGAGTGGCTTGAACCACCATTGGTACATTTATGACTGTCCCATCAGGTGGCTTTTTATTAATTTTTATTAGTAAAAAGACTGATAGAAGTGTTTAGATCAGCCGAGTGTGGTAGCGCACACCTGTAGTCCCAGCACTTTGGAGGCTGAAGCAGGAGGATCACAGAGAGTTCGAAGCCAGTCTGGGCTACAAAGTGAGTTCAAGGCCAGCCTGAACTGAACAGTGAGACCCTGTCTCAAAACAAAAAGTTTATATCCATTTGTAACCACCAGTAGTACAAACCACCTGATGGAAGAGTCATATACATACCTTCAGTGGTTAAAGCCAGTGAAAACGGGTTAATTAGCTTAGATTCCATGACTCTTCATTAATTATAATCATTTCCTTGTATATACCCTCACTTCCCTTTGTCCCTTTATCACTAAAATTTAGCATCCAGGCTGGTCCTGGTCAAGTCCAACCCTGAGTATTCCCTATCGTTTCCGTAGGCCTTTACTCTTCTACCCTCTGAGATGACTACTTCAAGGGCTTATCTCGCCTCATATCTCCACCACAGCCTCTCATCATCATGCTAAGACATGCTCTTTAAGTAAAAAAATCCATCAGAAGAATGTGTCTATATATTCCCACCACCACATCCAGCCACCATATAGCATCTATACTCATGTACCTTGCCTTTCTCTCTATTATTATAGGTAACCATTGCTGTTATCATCAAAATCAGTCCTTCTACTTTGGCAATAGACCCTATTGTCTGTTACTACTTGAGGACAACGCTCCACTAGTTTTTCCCTCTCTACAAGATCATTTTTTAGTGGCACACAGACATTGTATTATTGCTGTCATCTTTTATTTTTATTTTTTTGGTGTTGGGAATCAAACCTAGAGCATACACTTCACCACTGAGCTATATCCCTTAACCTGTTTTTATCTTTTTATTACAGCTTTATTGAGATACATTTTATATACCATGAAATTTACCCTTTCAGCTGTGCAGGTCGATTTTGTAGTATATTCGTGGAACTGTATAAACATCACCATGATCAGGTTTTGAGTATTTTCCCCTTCCCTGCCAAAGAAGCTTCACTCATTAGCTTCATAGTCATTAGCAGTTGCACCCTATTAATTTATCTCCAGCTCTAAGTGACCACTGATGTTCTTTCTGTCTCTGTTAACTCGCCTGTTCTAAGATTCTGTATAATTGAGCTCAAGTTATATATTGGTCTTTAGGACTGACTTTTTCCACTTAGCATAGTGTTTTGGGCATTCATCCATATTGTTTCATATAGCATTTCTTTTTATTGCCAAATAATGTTCTGTTGTACAGATATGTCACGTTTTGTTTATTGATTGGTCATTCAGTAGACATTTGAGTTGTTTCCATGTTTGAATGAATGATGTTTCTCTGAACATTTATTTGCAAATGTTTGTGGGTATGTGTTTTCTTTTCTCTTGGGTAGAATTTCTGTGTCTTTTGGCAACTCTCTGTTTAACCAAACTGTTTGCAAAAGTGCCTAAACCATTTTACTTGCCCATCAGCATATTGTCTACTGTACTTTTTAAATTTCCTTTTTAACTGATGTTTTAACCTAGATTCTTAGTGATTATCCTGGTGATTACAATTATCACTGTAACTTGACAACCCACTTTGTATTAAATTTAATAACTAACTTCAAATACCATATAAAAATTTTGCTCCCTCCTATCTGTTATAGTATTGCCACAGAATTACCTCTTTGTACATTATAAGCCCATCAAGTTTTATTATTATTCCTTTTTGTAGTTGTGTTTCTTTTAAAATGGAAAGGAAAATAAAAGTTACCAAAAAAGCTACTTTCTTTCATGATACCTATATAGTTACCTTTTTGCCTGAAATTAGGGGTGTTATTGTGGTTTTGTGTTTTTTTGAGATAAGATCTCACTGTGTTCAGGCTGGCCATTGAACTCATTTATGTAGCCCAGGCTGGTCTCCGTGATCCTCCTGCCTCATCTTCCCTAGGGATGGGATTACAGGTGTGTGCCATCATGCATGATTGAAGTTAGTATATCTTACAGGATAGGTCTGTTAGAAATTCTCTGTTTTTATCATAAATGCTTTCACTTTCAAACAGCAGCATTGCTAGATAAAGAATTCTCAGTTGACAAATTTTTTCACCAGTTTGAAAACATCACTGCATCATCTTCTGGTTTCTGATTAGAGGCAACAGTGAATCTTACTGAAGATCCTTTATTTTCATAAGTCATTTTCTTTTACTGCTTTCCATATTTCTTTTATCTTTGACTTTCATTAGTTTCACCATGATATTCCTAGGATGGATCTCTTCGAGTTCTCAATTTTTGAATCCTTTCTTTGCCTTTTCTCCTTTTCAGATTCCGTTGTGAATATGTTGTTGTGTTTGATGATGTCCCTCAAGTCTGGGAAGATCTTTTTCTCTTTTCTTCCCTCTTTTACCTTCCTGATTCTCAGGATGGATAATCTCTTTCTTATCCTTTTTTCTCCTGCCATGTGAAATCTATCACTAAACTGCTGTAGTGAAGGTTTCATTTCGTTACTGTACTTTTCAACTCTAGATTTTTCTATTTGATATTTTAGCAAATATAACTTTATTGATATTCAACATTTGGTGAGACATTTTTATCATATTCTTTAATTCTTCATATATAGCTTTCTTTAGTTATTCAAAACTATTTTCAAATGTAATTTAGCTAATGTAAAGTTTTGTCTATTAAGTTTAAAATATCAGCCCTCTTAGGGACGTGTTTTGTTTGCTGCTCTTTCTTTCTTTCTTTCTTTCTTTCTTTCTTTCTTTCTTTCTTTCTGTCTTTCTTTCTTTCTTTTTTCTTGGGTATGTGGCATACTTTTTTGTTCCTTTGTAAGTCTCATAATTTTCTGTTAAAAAAATGGACATTTTACCCTGAACATTATAGCACAAACCTATTATCCTAGCTCCCTGAGAGGCTAAGGAAAGATGACCACAAGTTTAATGCCAGTCTGAGCAACTTGGTAAAACATTGTCACAAAAAATACTGAACAGTTTAGACACTGCATTCTAATAATTTTGATATCAGAATATTTTACTTTCAAGTTATATTATTTTTATTATTTATTTATTTGTTTATTTTGTCTTTTTGAGACAGGGTCTCATTATGCAGTTCAGGCTGGCCTCAGCTCACTTTGTAGGCCAGGCTACATCAGAGTTCGATTTTTTCTTTTCCAGGGGATAACAATGATACATACATTATGCATTGTCATTCACCCAGAGCACAAGACCTCTGCATTCAATTATCTGAACAATACCGACATGAATCTTCCTCTTCAATGAACTCAGAGAAATCAGCAGTATAACTATCTTAACAATTTTCATATACATATATATACACATGTTTTTTCTTTCGGATTCTCACACTAATGAGACAATATGATGTGTACATATGTGTGACTTATTTATTTCCACTGAGGATGTTCTCAAATTGCATCCATTTACCTATAAAAGTCTCCAGTTTATCCGTTATGACTGAGTATAAAATTGCATTAAAATGCCACATTTTTTTTATCCATTCCTCAGTTGATGCCATTTAGGTTGTTTCCAAGATCTGGCTATTACAAATTGCGCTGCAATAAACATGGGTGCACATATATCACTGTGGTATGATGTTTTTTAATTTCACATCCGAGTACTTTTTAAAAATTTTTTGAGACAGGATCTTGGTAAGTCATTAAATTTCCCAGGTGGGGCTTGAATTTGTGATCCTCTATCCTTTGTTTGTCACAGTAGAAACCCAGAGCTGGGCGTTTCTTTCGTGGGAGCCTTTTAAAAAACTGATTCAATCTTTTTATTTATCTTTGGTGTGTTTAGATTTTCTGTTCCTTCATGATCTCACCTTTCATTTCTGAATTCACTTATTTGAATCCTGTCTTTTCTCTTGGTATTTCTTTTTTGGGGGTTGGTACCAGAAATCAAACTCAGGACCTTGTGCCTGCCCGGCAGGTGCTTGTGCTGCTGAGCTTCACATCCCTGACTTCTTTTAATCTGTTTTTATACCATTTTTGAATTTTTGTCTTTTATACTTTTTAGGATATTCTTTTCTTTTCTTTCTTTGTTTTGTTTGAGATAGGTCTCACTATATGTTGCCCAGACTGACTTGGAACTTGTGATCCTTCTGTGTCAGCCTTGCGTAGCTAGGGTGATAGGCATGTGCTACCAACTTGGCTTCTCTTCTTCTTTTCTTTTCTTTTCTTAGT